CAATTGTTGTTGTAATCAAATTTGTTCGGAAAAATCGATTTTAAACAACAGGCACTTAAAACAAAATTCATTATTAGATCCGTAGATTGTTTGTACGTATATTAACGCTCTGAAACTGAATCCAATATCCAAATTGCTTCATCAAGTTGCAATTTTTTTATCGATGGAAAATAGCTCGATTTTCTAGTATTTTTAGTCATTTATAATTTTTAATATACTAGTTAAAATAAAAGAGACAAAAATAAGTTCGACAATTATATGCACGCTTATAAAGTTAATATGCAAGTTGGTAGATTAAATATATTGAAATATCGAACTATTTTCCATCGATAGTAAAAAATTGTGACGTGATGGAAAACAATGTAGACTTTAGAGCGTCAAAATACATAAGAATTGTCTAAGCTACGGCTACTAAGCTATAACAAAATTTTTTTGTATGCCTAATTTTTCCTTCATCGCGGTTCTGTAAAATAGTGTACAATATTGAAAATATTGAAAACATATTGGAAAATATAAATGTATAAATATAGTCACATGTGACCTACGTATAGCTTATATTTAAATATAACTAATTATAAATTACGTTTAGATAGTTCATGAAAATATGATATTAAAAACACGCTCTTTAGCGTTTAAATATATTCCGTTTAAACGTAGTCTATTATTTAAATCCTTATTATTTTGCAAAGTATTGCTTAAAATAAAAATTTACAAATAACTTCATTACTTAATTTTTTAGAAAATCTTGCTATATTTTGATTTGTAAATTTCAGGACATCCTGTATATACATTAAAGAAGTTTTGAAAAAAATAATTCTTATATTATATTCTTTGAATCTATTCGAAGCGATTTAGATTCATATTATCAGAAATAGCTAAAGAATAATAAATTATTGTACCTAATAATTGTAATAATGAATTTAATATACATAAGAGCTATATATCTGTAATAAAACGATTTGAATTCATTTTTTCAATTCTACAAAATTCGAAATCTATCAAAATTAAGAAATAGATTCTCGAAACATCAATCTGATGAAAACAATTAAATTATAATAACTTTCTAACGTAGAAATACATATAATCTAAAATATTTTATTAATCATTAGAAATGGTTAAAAAAAACGAATTAATTGTAACATATAAGAATTTTTAATATCGAAAATAGTATTAAAGAATTGAAATGTGTGCGATAAAATATCGATAGTACGTGACGTTATTGAAACAAAAATGGCTGCTACGAAAGATCTGGCGGGATTTGGTCGAATTCTGCGAATAATCAACAATAGATTGATATACATTAATTAATAAAATTTGAATCATTATAGTGAAATAGAAAGGAAACAGACGTATCTTCATAAATTGTTAATAACATGCAGTTCTATTCTGAAGGCGGGTTAGAGCTGTTATCGAGATTTAGCAAGAAATCACGTTCGATTAACCTCGACGACGTTCTTTTCTCAACTGATATCGACAACAAGAGCATCATAGAGATCATCGGGGCTCCATCCACTGGAAAGACTGTATTATTGTGCCAATTCATAGCAAAATGTATACTACCCGCGCAATATGAGGAGATTAAGATCGACGGATGCGATGCATGTGCGATATTGATCAACACACTTGGCCATGTACAGATGAGTAAGATAGCTGAATTAATGACGTCCATGGTACGCGACGCATATCAGGTAGCTAATGTACAACCGTCAGCCGAAACAGTAGACTATATAATAAACCAATCTCTGGAAAACTTAACAGTGATCAGCTGTTGTAACAACGATCAACTTCAGCTGATTCTGCACACACTCGAAGACGAGTTTCTCAGCAACGAAAGAATCACTTTGTTAGCTATAGATAATATACTGGCATACTATTGGCAGGCGAGGAAAGAGAATATATTTACTATGAATTATTATGCTACAGGCTTACTTAAAATCATTCGGTCTCAAACTTCTCAGTTTCACACAGTGACAGTTTACACTAGATGGGATGGACCAGTGCCCAATGAATCATATGCGAAATGTACAGGTACATTAGAGAGGACAGGTGTAAATTATAGGCTTCAGCTTAGTAAAAGTACTAGAATTCGTGAGTTTATGTGTCATGTACAATTTACTAATAATGTAAAACAGATTTATTATACAATCTCTGATTCTGGTATAAAATGGACGAGATAATAAATATAAATTGAAAGTAAATAAGTTTCAATAATTAATTGATGAAAGAAGAACCTTGTCCACTATATCTAATGGATTTAACAGTCTCGAACCTGCTATTGTTATTTGACAATTTGAATTAAATAATGATATAATTTCTTTAGTTTCTCTTATTTCTTCTGGTGTTATACCTCCAATGACATAAATAATAATCCAATTGTTATCACATGGATGATGTTTTATTCTTCCTTTAGAAAATAAGCTGTCAAAGATATTTAAAAACTAGATTTTCTTCAGACTTTCTTTAGAAAAACTGAGACAACATCCATTTAATATTATATATATATATA